GAGCCTGCGTGGCTCAGTGGCTGAGTGTCTGCCTTCAGCTCAGGTCGGGATCCTGGGGTCTGAATCAGGCTCCCCACAGGGAGCCTGCTTCTCCCTCTGCCTGTGTCTCTGCCTTTCTCTGTGTGTCTCATGAATAAATAAATAAATTATTTTTTTTTAAATTTTTATTTATTCATGATAGTCACACAGAGAGAGAGAGAGGCAGAGACACAGGCAGAGGGAGAAGCAGGCTCCATGCACCGGGAGCCCGACGTGGGATTCGATCCGGAGTCTCCAGGATCGCGCCCTGGGCCAAAGGCAGGCGCCAAACCGCTGCGCCACCCAGGGATCCCAATAAATAAATTCTTAAAAAAAAAAAAAAAAAAACTGCAGTAATCAAAACAGTGTAAGTTTGCGTACAAATAAACACAGAGATGAATGGAACAGAATACAGAACCCAGAAATAAACCCACACGCATATGGTCAATTGATTTACAACAAAGGAGGCAGGAATATGCAATGGAAAAAAGACTCTTTAGTAACTGGTGCTGGGAAAACTGGACAGTCACATGCAGATGAGACTGGACCACTCTCTTACACCAGGCACAAAAATACACCTAAAATGGATTGACGACTTGAATGTAAGACAGGAAACCCAAAGCCTCCTAGACAAAAATAACAGGCAGTAAAGTCCTTGACATCGGTCTTGGCAATGATTTTTTTGGATTTCACACCAAAAGTAAAGGCAAAATAAACAAAAATAAAACAGATGGGGCTGTCTCAGGCTAAAAAACTTTTGCACAGCGAAGGAAACCATCAACAAAACAAAAAGGCAGCCCATGGAATGGGTGAAGCAATCTACAAATCACATACCCTATGAAGGGTTAGTATCCAAAGTATATTAAAAAACTCATGAACTCCATAGCAAACCAACAAAAATTTGGTTAAAACCTGAACAGGCATTTTTCCATAGAAGACATACAAATGACCAACTGGCACATGAAAAGATGCTCAACATCACTCATCATCATGGAAATACAAACCAAAACTACAATGTGATTACCACCTTGCACCTGTCGGAATGGTTAAAATCAACACAAGAAACAGGTGTTGGTGAGGATGTGGAGAAAGCGGAACTCTCATGCCCTGTTGGTGGGAATGTAAGCTGGTACAGCCACTCTGGAAAACAGTATGGAGGTTCCTTAAAAAACTAAAACTACCCTACCATGACCCAGCAATTCCACCCCACGGGATTTATTCAAAGAAAACGAAAGCAAAAAAATAATAATAATAAAGCAAAAAAACTAAAATTAAAATTAAAATTAAAAAAAGAAAAGAAAACGAAAGCACTGATTCGCAAAGATAGGTGCACCCCCCTGTTCATTGCAGCATTACGTACAAGGGCCAAGATATGGAAGCAACCTAAGTGTCCACTGACGGATGAGTGGATGAAGAAGAGGTGGCACATGTATGATCAAAAACTGCTCAGGTGGGATCCCTGGGTGCCTCAGCGGTTTGGCGCCTGCCTTTGGTCCAGGGCAGATCCTGAAGTCCCGGGATCGAGTCCCGCGTCAGGCTCCCTGCATGGAGCCTGCTCCTCCCTTTGCCTGTGTCTCTGCCTCTCTCTCTCTCTCTCTCTCTCTCTCTCTCTCTCTCTCTATCATGAATAAATAAATAAAATCTTTAAAAAAAAAAAAAAAAAAAAGGAACTGCTCAGGGCAGCCCGGGGGGCCCAGTGGTTTAGCGCTGCCTTAGGCCCAGGGTGTGATCCTGGAGACCTAGGGTCGAGTCCCACGTTGGGCTCCCTGCACGGAGGCTGCTTGTGTCTCTGTCTCTGCCTCTCTCTCTCTCTCTCTCTCTCTTTCTCTCTCTCTCTCCCTGTGTCTCTCATGAATAAATAAATAAAATCTTTTAAAAAAAAACTACTCAGCCATAAAAGAGAATGACATTTTGTAACAAGGTGGATGGACCCTGAGAATATTGCACTAAGTGAAGTAAGTCAGACAGACACAGACAAATCCTGCATGATTCCATTTATAGGTGGAATCTAAAAGACAAAACCGAGCCAAATCCAGACTCAAAGTACAGACTGGTGGTGGTTGCCTGGGGGCAGGGGCAGGGGCACGCAGGCCTGGGTGAAGGGGATCAAGAAATACAAACTTCCGGTTAGAAAGTGGGTGATGGGAACGTTATGAACACAAGGGGACGGTAGTCAACGAAACCGTGGTAACTGTGTGGTGACCACTGGTGACTCCACTTGCACCTGAAACTTACTACCATGATATTGTATGTCAGTTACACTTCAATAAAATAATATTTAAGGGCAGCCCGGGTAGCTCAATGGTTCAGCACCGCCTTCAGCCCAGGGCATGATCCTGGGGTCCCAGGATTGAGTCCCGCATCGGGCTCCCTGTATGGAGCTTGCTTCACCCTCTGCCTCTGTCTCTCTCACTGTGTCTCTCATGAATAAATAAATAAAATCTTAAATAATAATAATAATAATATTTAAAAACAAAGAGCCAGCTGGGCAGAGCAGGAAGGACATCCAGGCAGGGCAGGAGCTCTCAAATGCTGGGGAGCAAGAGAAAATGGCACACTCCAAGTTCATGAGTTCAAAACCAGACATGTACAGAGGAATCCACAGCACCCAGTAGAAACTGGGAATGAGCACAGCTCCCCAGAGGGCCAGCCCCCGAATCGTGGTGCCGTCCCCACCCTGGCCCACATCACCTCCTCTCCCCCACGTTTTCTAGCCTTCCCTGCCACCCTGTCCTGGAAGTTTCCTTTATTGGTTTCAGGGCCCATGTCTCCTTTCTTCAGAGAAAGATCTTTCTCCGTGTCCTGGGGTGCCGGATACCGGCACTGAGCACCTTTTAACAACCAAGATCTCCTTTTCATGTTGCACCCTCTCTGCCAGACAGGATGACTGTGCCCATTTTGCAGATTCAGAAAGTGAGCCTGCAGCCCAGAGGGTCTGGACCCCTGCAGGCAGGGGGCCAGGAGAAGTCTCCCTACCTTCTCCACCTGGGGCCAGGTGCCCAGTGAGTCCTGTACGAGCAAGGTAGGGGACAGTCGGGGAGGGGAGGAACAGAGCCCTGCCTCAGCCCCACTGAGGAAAGCAGCCAAGACACCTGCCCTCTTGGGAGAAGCAGGACCAGATGATCACTAAGACCCCTTTGAGCCACCCCAAGAAATTCACAGGTGTAGGAGAGGATGCTGTCACGGGTCAGACCACAACAGTGCTGGGTTATTGTTCACCTCACGACAGAAAACCACAAAAGTCACAAACCCACCCAGGGGTCTCCAGCCAGGGACGCACCACAGTGGAGAATAGTCATGCACTAACCATTCACTGCATCTGGTGTCTGAAAGCTTTAAAATAAGATGGATATTTCCCCGGGTCTTGGAGTGGGGCAGGAAGACACCAAATGGAAAACTAAAGAGAAAAGCCAATCCATTTGAATGCGTTAAAAACAAAAGCTTCCGGGACGCCTGGGTGGCTCAGTGGTTGAGCATCTGTCTTTGGCACAGGGTGTGATCCCGGGGTCCTGGGAGCCAGTCCCGCATTGGGCTCCTCGCGGGGAGCCTGCTTCTCCCTCTGCCTGTGTCTCTGCCTCTCTCTCTGTGTCTCTCATGAATAAATAAATAAAATCTTTAAGAAAAAAAAAAAAACTTCCAGGGACACGCCTGGGTGGCTCAGCAGTTGAGTGTCTGCCTTTGGGTCAGGGCGTGATCCCAGGGTCGAGTCCCCACATCGGCTCCCCACAGGGAGCCCGATTCTCCCTCTGCCTGTGTCTCTGCCTCTCTCTGTGTGTCTCCCATGTATAAATAAATAAAATCTTAAAAAAAAAAGCTTCTGTAAAAAAAAAAAAAAGCTTTTATGATAGCAAAGGACAAGGTATAAAGGGGGAAAATATTTGCAACACGTAAGACAAAGAGTTACAAGCCTCCTGTACAAAGAGCTCTAACAATCAACAAACCAGAGACCAACCCAAGAGAAAAAAAAGGAAATATTAAAGTGGCCAATTAAACATTGGAAACCATCATCCAAAACCTGCAAATTAAACACAATGAATAGTACATGACACCTAGTCAATCTGATTAAAAGGTTTGCCAACCCCAGGTGTAGGTGAGGGTGTGTGGAAATCATAGCCTGGGCATTTCTCAGGAGGGAGGGTAGCGAGCCCGCCCTGCTGGAAGCCTGCCTGGTGCTGCGGGGCGATTTGGTGGCATCTAGTAAAAAACCGTTCTGGAGGCGCCAGCCCTTTTACCCTCGTCCCCAGCAAAGGGACTGGACATCCCAGGTCTAAAAGGAGCCACTGGCTTGAAGGACAGCCACCACGTAGGTAAAAATGACTTCGCAGGACACTAAATGACAGGGAGGGGTGGCCGTTAAAATACAGGACGGTACGGACAAATGGGATCCTTTGGCATATCTTCGTTTTTTGTTTTTTGTTTGTTTGTTTGTTTTCTTTTTTAAGTATATTGCTCTTTTCGCACTTGCTTCCCCCCAGGCGCTCCTCCTGCCTGAAAACTCCCGGCCTGGGCCGAGCTCAGCGGCCCCTGGCGCCCCGCGAGCCCTGCCTTCGAGCGCATCCCGCACACGGAGGGCCCCCGGGGACAGACCCCTGCCCCGCCACGTCCCCGCGCCCCGAGCTCGCGCGCGGTCCCCGCCCCACGACTGGCTCCCGTCCCAGCGCGGGGATGCAGCAGCTGAGACGTGCTCCCGAGGCGCGCGATCCGGGCGCGGGTCCTCGGATGCTGGACGCCTGGACCCCTGGACCCCTGGGCCCCTGGACCCCTGGACCCCTGGACCCCGGGCCGAGGCAGAGGCGCTGGAGGAGTGTCAGACCCGCGCGGGCGGGCCGGGTCCCCGGGGCGGGGGGGAGGAGGAGGGACGCTCCCACCCGCCCTGAGGCAGGGGCCCAGGAGCACCCGCGGGGCACCGGGGCCGCGCTGGCCCGCACCTCCCGGCCCCGCGAGGCTGTTCCCACCCGCGGCAGGGGCCGGGCCGCGCTCACCGAGCATCTCTTTGCGCCGCTGCGTGTGCGGCTGGTCGGTGTAGACCCACTCGAAGTCCGCGCGGCCCGCGCTGTTGCCCATGGTGCGGCCCGGAGCGCAGGTCGGAGCGCAGGTGGGAGCGCGGCGCACTGGTCGACTCCGCTCCACCTGTCTGCCCGCCCGCGCGGCGAGGGGACCAGTTCGCGGCTCGGGGCGGGGCCTCGATGGGCGGGGCCTCGGGTGGGGCGGGGCCAGGTGCGGGGAGACCCGCGGGGACCAGTTCGCGGCTCGGGGCGGGGCCTCGGTGGGCGGGGCCTCGGTGGGCGGGGCCAGGTGCGGAGACCAGTCGCGGCTCGGGGCGGGGCCTCGGGTGGGCGGGGCTAGGTGCATCCCCGGAGGCCCGCAGGGACCGGTTCGCGGCTCGGGGCGGGGCCTCGATGGGCGGGGCCTCGGGTGGGGCGGGGCCAGGTGCGGGGAGACCCGCGGGGACCAGTTCGCGGCTCGGGGCGGGGCCTCGGTGGGCGGGGCCTCCGGTGGGCGGGGCCAGGTGCGGGGAGACCCGCGGGGACCAGTTCGCGGCTCGGGGCGGGGCCTCCGGTGGGCGGGACCTCCGGTGGGCGGGGCCAGGCGCCCCCCGGGAGGTCCGCGGGGACCCGGGCGCGACCGGAACCTGGGCCGGGCGGCGGCGGCTCCCTAGCCTCGGTCACCTCGGCTGCAAATGGGACTATTACCCAGGGGCCCGCCGGAGTCCCCGGCCCCCAGGCCGAGCGGGGCCGCCCCGCAACCCCGCCTGGCCGGTCCGGTTTCCCGGCGGAGCGCCCGTTCTCTCCGCGGCCCAGACCCAGCCGCGCAGGCGCGCCCGCCGCCCCTGCCTCGGGGCACCTGCCGGGTTAGCGGCCGCTTGGGGGGGAGGTCGGGGGGGGCTGGAGGTGCGATGCTGGCGACGGTGCCAGTGAGCGGAAGGCGCCCAGAGAGGTTCACAGCGACGCTCCCTTCCCCCAGCCGTCCCCTACCCGGCCCTCTCCCGCCACAACATCGCCAGGGGCAGACGGTGTGTCCGTGGCAACCAAATGGAGGTGAGTCAGCCCCGCCCCTACCTTCAGGAAAATGGAGGGACACAGGGACACAGACACGGAAGAGGCCTATTATGACTCAGGGTGAGACGTGCCATGACACAGGCAGGGGTAGGTAGGGTCCAGCAGGGGAGCCTTCTGCACTGGGCCTTGAAGGATGAGTAGGAGTCGGCAGCCAGCAAAGGGGGAGCGTGCTGGCGGTGCAGGGAGGAGCAGGTGCAAAAGCTGGGAGCTCGGAAGAACGCTGACTTTGTTAAAATAGAGGGTCCAGGGTTTGGGGGCACAGGGAGACCAGGCTCCTCATTTTCACCTGTTCAGGGATCCCTCTCTTCTTCCTCTCACTCCTCCGGAGCCTTGTATTGTAGGGTGTGGCTGGTTTTCCTGAGGCCCGGAGCTGGCCTGTGCTGGGAGCCGCCTGGGGAGCAGACTGGCCTGGCAGCCAAAGGTACCACAGGCAGGGAGGTAACGATGGTGCGTCTCCCTCCAGTCTCCTGGAAGTGCATGGCCCAGGGGTGTGGTACACTTGGCAGGCCTCCCCTCGCCCAGGCCCAAAGGCAGTCCCCGCCTGAGCTGGAAAGGAAAGCAACCGTGTGTGGGCATCCCTCGGCAGCCAGCCACCTGCCCGGCTTAGGGGTGGGGATATGGGCCCGCACAGAGGTTGGATTCCCAGTCCAACACGAAGACCCTCAGAGCCTAGTGGTGCCACCACCCCTCGCAGCACCCATCGGGGTCACCCGGCCCAGCTTGCACATCCTCAAAAACAGAGAACTCACTGCTCCCCAGGGCAACCTGTTCTATTCTCAGCCAAAAGGACCTCCCACCAGCTGGCACTTTACAGATGAGTAAACCGAGGCTCGGAGCTCATGAGGGCCTCGCCTAAGAATACAAGAATAAGCAGCAACACAGGGACAAGCCCCTGATCTTTGACTTGAAAAGCCCAAAGTCAGTGTGTTAACCCCCATGTCACACTCAGTGAGATCTGGGTCCCAGCTCTGCCTTCTGGGGTACCATCACTCCCACCAGCTCCCTCCACCCCAGGACAGGGTCAGAAAACTTCCTTTGTACCTCTACCCCAAGACTCAACCTTCATTCATACATCTACCCCAAGACTCAACCACCCACCCCAAGACTCAACCTTCTTTCCTACATCTACCCCAAGACTCATCTACCCCAAAACTCAACCTTTATTCCTATATCTACCCCAAGACTCAACCTTCTTTCCTACATCTACCCCAAGACTCAACCTCCCCAAGACTCAACCTTCTTTTCCTACATCTATCCCAAGACTCAACCTGTCCAGATGAATCTAGCCCAGGGACTCCCAATCTGGCACCCCGGCCAAGTAATTCCCACATCCCTGAGGCCAGCCGGAAACACAGAATGGACTTCCAGATGATGGACTTGATCATAGCACAGGTGATATAGCCTCCCCAGCATGCCCCTGGTTTTGGCAATGACAGAGAATACTTATTTGTCTGTAAGGTGGTGTCCTGGATGGGATTCTGGACCAGTAAAGGGGCATTAAGTAAAAACTTAGAGAACCTGAATAAAATATAGACTTCAGTTATAATAATATCAACTGTGATTCCACTAATTGTAACAAACACGCCATACTACTATAAGATCTTAAACAATGTTGGGTGTGGAAGTTATTCTTGATACTATCTTCCCAATATTTCTAGAAATCATAAAGTTCGTTTTTAAGGGCCACCTGGGCAGCTCAGTCAGTTAAGCATCTACCTGCAGCTCAGATCATGATCCCAGAGTCCTGGGATCAAGCCCTACATCTGGCTCCCTCCTCCTCCCTTTGCCCCTGTTACCTGTTCATGCTCTCTCTCTATCTCTGTCTGTCTCAAATAAATAAATAAAATCTTTTTTTAAAAAGCTCCTTTTTGGGATGCCAGGTGGCTCAGCAGTTGGGCGCTGCCTTCGACTTAGGTCATGATTCCGGGATCTGGGATCAAGCCCTGCATCGGGCTCCTTGCGTGGAGCCTGCTTCTCCCTCTGCCTATGTCTCTGCCTCTCTCTCTCTCTCTCTCTGTGTCTCTCATGAATGAATGAATAAAATATTTTTTTAAAGGAACTTTTTAAAAAGATTTATTTATTTATTCATTCATTCATGAGAGACACAGGCAGAGGGAGAAGCAGGCTCCATGCAGGGAGCCCGACGTGGGACTCGATCTGGGGTCTCCAGGATCATGCCCCGGGCCGAAGACGGTGCTAAACCGCTGAGCCACCCTGGCTGCCCAAAAGTTACTTTTTGAAATGAAATTTCTTCTTCAAAAATCTTTATCATACATTGTATATATAACCAAACTTCTGTGACTCCTCCATAATCTTCCCTGTTCCCATTTCTCCTGGGAGGAGCAGCACCCCGAGTGGGGGGTTCACTGACTCACAGGAGGGACCCTGACTGCAGACCCAGGTGTCTTCCACTGCCTGTGAGGAGCGGGGGTACCTACACCCATGAAGTCTTAACTGTAGTACTCGCTGTTCCCCAGCACAAAGCCCTCTTTGCCACGCATGTTTGCGGAGAACAGGCCAGAATGCATTCCCTACAGCCCCTCCCGACCCTGCCCGAAGCCAGGGGAGGCTCACAGCCCGTGACTCACAGTCAGCCCACACAGGAGGGAGTCACTGAAGGGAAAAGAGGGTACCCACCCCAAGAAAGGGAAGAACTTCCCACCTAGGAAAAGGAGCTACTGGAAAGGCAGAAGTGAGTTGAGAAATGAGAATGACTCTTATTTCAAGAGCCACAAAAGGCTATTGCTGTTTCACTTGCAAAGTACATAAATAAATAAACCAGAGATGGGCAGGTAAAAGTTACCTGTTTTAAAAAAAAAAAAAAAAAAAATGGGATCCCTGGGTGGCGCAGCGGTTTGGCGCCTGCCTTTGGCCCAGGGCGCGATCCTGGAGACCCGGGATCGAATCCCACATCGGGCTCCCGGTGCATGGAGCCCGCTTCTCCCTCTGCCTGTGTCGTCTCTGCCTCTCTCTCTGTCTCTCTCATGAATAAATAAATAAAATATTTTAAAAAAAGAAAAAAAATCAACAAAACAAAAAGGCAACCTACTTAGTGGAAGAAGATGTTTGCAAGTAATACATCTGATAAGGGGTCAATGTACAAAATATATGAAGAACTTACACAACTTAATATTAAAACAAAATACCCGGGATCCCTGGGTGGCGCAGCGGTTTGGCGCCTGCCTTTGGCCCAGGGCGCGATCCTGGAGGCCCTGGATCGAATCCCACGTCAGGCTCCCGGTGCATGGGGCCTGCTTCTCCCTCTGCCTGTGTCTCTGCCTCTCTCTCTCTCTCTCTCTGTGACTATCATAAATTAAAAAAAAATTTTTTTAAACAAAATACCTGATTTAATAATGGGCAGAGGACCTGAACAGACATTTTTCCAAGGAAGACATGCCAGTGGCCAACAGGACGCGAAAAGATGCATTATCAGAGAAATACAAATGAAAACCACAATGAGAGATCACCTCACACCTGTCACCATGGCTAGTACAAAAAAACTAAAAGTAACAAGTGATGGTGAGGATATAGAGAAAGGGGAACCCTCCTCGCACACTGCTGATGGGAATGCAAGCTGGTGCAGCCCCTCTGCAAAACAGTACAAAGGTTCCTCAAAATGTTAAAAACAGAGCCACCCTATGATCCAGTAATCCCATTTCTGGAATTTATCTAAAGAAAAGAAAATATTTATTTATTTATTTATTTATTTATTTATTTATTTATTTACTTATTTATTTTAAGAAAGAGCATGCTTGAGGGGTCGGTGGTGGGGCAGAGGGGGAGGGATGGCAAGAATCTCAAGCAGACTCCTCACTCAGTGCGAGCCATACACGGGGCTTGATCTCACGACTCTGAGATCATGACCTGAGCTGAAACCAAGAGTTGGATGCTTAACGAACTGTGCCACCCAGCCACCCAAGAAAATACCAATTTGAAGAGATATGCATCTCATGTTCATTGCAGCATTAATTACAATAGCCAAGATGTGGAAACAACCTCAGTGTCCATTGACTGATAATGGGTAAAGAAGAGGTAGGAGATGTGTGTGTGTAAACACACA